AGAAGCAGCAGCAGCAACGGCTGCAGCAGCAGCAGCAACAGCAACAAGAGAGCTGTGGAATGGGTGGCAGCCGCGTCTGTTGGTTTGGATCCGCTGCAGCAGCAATTAGAACTTTTTTGTTTTTGTCTTGTGTCCTCCGCAGCTGACAAAAATGCCGAAGAGTTAGGCAGCAAACAGACGCGTGAAAACCAGAAAGCTGCAGTGTACGTACACCTCAACAACTCAAGTGTGCATGTACACCACAAAAACTGCAGTGTACACGTACACCTCAAAGACTGCAGTGAGCTACAGTGTATGTACACCTCAAGAGCTGCAGTGTACGTACACCTCAAGAGCTGCAGTGTACGTACACCTGAAGAGCTGCAGTGTACACGTACACCTCAGCAACTGCAGTGTACATGAACACTTCGAGAAGCGCAGTGTACGTACACATCAAATAGTACACGTACACCTCAAGAGCTGCAGTGTACGTACACCTCTTGAACTGCAGTGTACACGTACACCTGAAGATCTGCAGTGTACGTACACCTGAATTGTTGCAGTGTACAAGTAGAGTTCGCGAAATTTAGCAGAGTTGTCCGTCAAATTGGGAACTGAAGTATCGGTACAGCTGGTGCCTGTACACCCGGTGTCTGTACACCGGGTGTCTGTACACCGGGTGCCTGTACACCTCAGGAGGCCTCCAGACGCAGCAGCCGAATCCCGTTTTTTGCGCCATCACTTTTAAAAAAGCGACCGAGTCGGCTTTCGCTGCTGACAGCAGCAACTGCGAAATCTCCAGCAGCAGAAAGTGCCACTCCTGCCACAGAGCCCCCCACAGCCACGCCTGCTGCCTCCACAGCCCGCAGCACGCCGCCCTCTGCACACACCCAGCAGCAGCAGCAGCAGCAGCAGCAGCAGCAAAAGTGGTCAGTGGGGCGCTGGAGGGAAGCCCAAATCGCACAATTATTGGCTCCTTAGATAAAAAAGACTTTAAAAGAGACCAAAACACACAGTTATTGAGTCCTTAAATTTATACATAAAACATTAAAGCTGCAGCTCAATCAGACAATAATAAAAACCATTTCCATAAAAAGACTCAGCAGCCCCTACCCAGCCCAGCGCCGCCGGCCGCGGCAACTCCCCCAACCCCCCAAAAACAGCAGCAGCAGCAGCAGCAGCAGCAGCGCGTACTCTGTCCCTGCGCAGCCTCCCAGAGCTGCAGCGTGCCGGCCTCAGTGCCCACAAGAAGGCCGTCAGTGCCGGGGAGAGCGCAGAGGGCGGAAACGCCTGTGGGGTTTCCGGTGGCTCTGAGTGGCCGCTGGGGTGTACAGACACCTGGCTGCTGCTGCTGCTGCTGCTGCTGCTGGGGTGTACAGACACCCGGCTGCTGCTGCGGTGTACAGACAGCCTGCTGCTGCTGCGGCGCGCTGACTCCCGGTGGCTGCTGGGGCTTCGCGAGGCCCGGCTGCTGCTGCTGCTGCGGTGTACTGACGCCCAGCTGCTGCTGCTGCGGTGTACAGACACCCGGGCGCCCCGCGCGCACGCAGGCCAGCGGCCTTCTGCTGCTGCTGCTGAAGAGAGCCAAAAGGCCCCCCTGGGCCCCACAGGCAAACAAAGAAGGAGACAAACAAGCCACGGAGTCCACGCAGGACCCCAGAGACGGAAACGCCCGGTGCGTGTCCTGCACCAGCTGCACACAGCAGCAGCAGCAGCAGCAGCAGCAGCAGGGCGTAGCAGTTCAGCGCCCCTTAGAACGTTCAAAAGAAGGGGAATAAAGCTTCAGCTATTTACACCCAAAGCAAACACAGCAGCAAGACAAACGAACAGGAAGCAAGCCGCACAGGCTGGCTGCGCTGCTGCTGCTGCTGCTGCTGCTGCTGCT